AAGGGTTCTTTTTCTTTTAGCCCAGCTCCTAATGACCAGGACAAGCACTTCCCCAAAGCAACCTTGTTTAGACGCACCCAAGCATGTATGCAGGCAGAGAGGAAAAGAGGAGAAAATTTCATGAAGCTCATTGACTCCAAAATGGCAAGGCTTTTGTAAAAAGCTCTTTAGCAAGCAGTTCTGCTATGGGGCCTTTTTAAATCCAGAAGGCTGCATAGTGGTGAGTTAGTTTTTCAAAGGGAAAAGCTTTAAGATAGTTGCTGCTCCCTGAAGAGGCAGCTCTGTAACAGCATCAAAGGAGGAGCAGATTACGTCTTTTTTCTCCCCACATTCAGAACCAGTGAGGAAATTACAGACTTGAAAGGCTGGTCTTTAAACTGAGCAATACAAAAAAAATGCTGGAAATTGTAAGATTCACAAACAAATCTCACAAAGTTAACAATCTTGTTCTTTCTCACACACAAATTGCTAGAAGAGCTGTGCATCCACAGATCTGTACAGTCACACACTGAGATTTAAACTCGGAGCAAAACCACACGTATAAAGGAAGTACAGCTTTGCTTATGTACTCTGTAAGAACTACAGAAGCGTACAGGCTAACTACAGAGACCTGTACGCCAGCACACAAAAGAATGCTTACAGGAATATATCTGTTTGAGTGCAGATCAGACCCACTTGGGTTAAACCTGGCTGATCCAAGGTCTGCTCTTGCTGAGGACTGATGGCAGACAATTCTGAGAGGTGCATAAAATGTTGTAGAGGAGTAGTTCTGAAACAACCTGCTCACTGAAGTTCCCTTCTGACCTATGTCTCTTAGAAGCTGCAGTACGCTCTGAAACATGAGGATTTATAACGTTGATAATGGCTTCAAAATCTTTTGCAACGTGACCTGTAAGGATTTTTGTAATTTGTGAGCTGGGCATATATGCCGGTGTACCATATTCTAACACTTCTTAGAACTTCAGAGGAGTACACGGGCATTCAGCTTTCTGCCAAATATCAGAAAAATAAATTGCATACTGACACTAATGTTTTTCGTCCTTGTTTTTACATGGAGATATTTTTTTCCTTGATTTGACTGGTTCCAATACCTGGCCCTAGTATTGTCCAATATCTATGAAGTCTTCAGGCTAATTATAGGGTAAAAATACTTTCTTAGTCAGTTTTCATTTGCTGCATGGAATTATCATGTAACGAGGAAGGGTAAATGTGACTGCCTGGTGTAATGTATTTGTACTATTCTGTATACATCTCTGCTGTGTTTGATCTTCGTCTTCTGATGCCTAACCCAAACAACTCCAGCCTTCCCAGATACCCAGCTTCATTAGATACCTCTGCATCTTTCTGTTTCTCTATTACCTGTGATGCTAGGCTGCTCTGAAGAGACTACTGTTTTCCAAACAAGGATATACTGTCAGTTTATAAAGGGCCAAAGTATGACCTTAACAAACTGCTTTAAAATTAGATGTGAGATGAGGAAGACCTTTTCACATTCCTTGACGTACACTCTGTGCTAAACCCTAGCAGAGAGCCGCTGGGCTGCTGTGTCCAGCCAGCACACAGAAGAGAATTGCGAACAACTGTGCATATCTGCTCTCTAGGCAGGGGAGGCTTTCCCCTCACAACCGTCTGCCCCTGCTGCTGGATACTGGCAAAAAGTTAACATGTCTGCCTGTTTGTAAACATTTTAAGACCCATCTTCAAATCAAGTTAACAGACTCGGGCCCTGATGTTCGTGGAGTAAAGAACAGTTTGGAAATGTCAGAAGCAGAGGTCATGCTGAAATGCCTTTGTATCAAGTCTCGGCTCCTTCATACAGAGTTTGAAATATCAACTTGCTTTTAGCTGCGTCCTTGAATAAATTGTGAGCTCGTGTATTGGACTTTCAGATCCTAATAGAAAGTCCCTGCAAACTCATCTGTCAGTATGATATCGAGACCATTCCCTTTTAAAAGGTACAAAAATTATTTTACACACTGGCTACGCTACTAGCTATGTTATTCTAAGTACATTTTTGCCTTTTTGTCCATGTTAAATGAATAGAGACAAATGTTAAAAGGACAATTATTCCTTGACGTTAAAATGTCTTTGACTCCATTCTGTTACGCCAGTGTAGTTAAGCCAGAGTAGATACATTTATTCAACCAGCTCTTTTGTGTTACGTATTCACATCTGGCTGCACTTTGCTCAGAAAATGCTTCTGCTTTTACAGTTACGTTACGAACCAAGTTAATGTTATAATTGATGCACTCAAGTGTATCCAGTGTTTCAGCTGTAATTACGACCTCTGCTTTAGCAACTCTCCCAAAATTGCCATGACAGATTAACTAATAAGAAAATTAATATGAAGAAAGCATTTTGGTTCTGGGCTTTGGGCCCTTTTTTTGAGATTATTAGGGAAGGAAAGCATCCACTTCTTACGCTCCGTAGTTTATTACTTTCCCTCTTCCTTCCCTTCTCCCTCCCTCTTATTTTTCCTGGAATGTGCAGTGTTTTGAATGTGCAGTCATATTTAGGAGGAAAAAGAAAAAAAAGGTAATTGGAAATTTCTGACATGAACCTGCTAAAGGGCAGCCTGAACTCTTTTAGATGTGAAAGAGAAGGAGATTGTGTGTAAATCCATGGACCTGAAGAATCCACAGACAGTGAATTCAAAATTCAAAAGGCCTGTTTTCTAAATTTAGGCTAAGAACAGTCAGCATACCAGAAGTCTCTCAAGAAAAGCTGGCCTCACAGCTATCCATATCAGGGAGTCATAATCTAGTAGGGAGAGTCCATGAGAAGGCGTCATTAGACCTAAGCCTCTGCCCTGATCAAGTCAGCTTCAATCCTGAATCCCAAATGTTTGTCTGACAGTAGCTGAGGCTTAAGAGTTTAAAAGTACTTCTTGTATCGCCAGTACCTGGTTAGTATTTACATGCGAAGCATTAATATTAGCAGGTATGACTCTTTAAGCTATCTCAGAGTAATTACAACATAATTCACTTTTATACCCTTGTTATTTCTTTCAGTATAACGGTTCTCGCCCAAGGGAGGAATGGGAAATGTGGCACCCGACTCTCATTGCAGAAGCCCTCTTTGCAATATCCAACATTTTAAGTTCCTTGCGTCTCATATCGCTGTTTACAGCAAATTCACACCTGGGACCCTTGCAGATTTCTCTGGGACGCATGCTGCTAGACATCCTTAAATTCCTTTTTATCTACTGTCTGGTGCTTCTGGCTTTTGCCAATGGACTGAACCAGCTTTATTTTTATTATGAGACGAGTGCCTCGGAGGAACCCAACAACTGCAAGGGGATCCGATGTGAGAAACAGAACAATGCCTTCTCCACGTAAGATGTCCTTTCCTTTCTGTTTTTAAGGTTGACTTCCCCTGTATCACCTGCCTTTGCCTGTTGTCTGTCACTGCACTGAAAGTGCCTTCATTTACTCATTTGCAAATACCAGGTGAGCTGGTTGACTGTGCAGGAAAGGTGTGAGTTAACCAGGGCCAACATTCTGCTGAGCTTTGCAGTCAGAAAGACTCTTACTTAGGTCTGGAAATGAGAGACAATCGTTTTAGTTCTGGACCAAAGAGTCTCCCTACATGATCCTGCAACTTAAATATTATTATGGCTACCTACAGTTTCAGTACATTTGAGAAAGCAAATATCCTTTTGCCATAATAATTGATAATTTTGTCTGATTCCAGAGGAAGAGAGGGGAAGCTAAACAAAACGTAGAAGACGAGGGATAAACCTATGAAAAAAAGGTACTAATAAATCACATGCTACAGCAACAACAACAGTCTCGCCTAGGCCACTTCTGTGCATACATGATGTCCTTGCAGTGGGGTGAGACTAAAATCCCAGCAAAATCCTTTTTGCTGGAAATGCTGGTACTTTACTGAGATGTTGGCATAGAAATTGCTGTGATGACAGCTGGCAGGGCTGAAAGAGATAGCACATGCTGAAAAATAACATGAATTGTCTTTCTGATGTATTAGTTTTAATTACTAATAGTGGAAATAATTATAATAATCAGCCCCCACTCAATTGTTCTTGCTGCTTGCACAGTACTTAAAACACAATGGGAAGAGAAATAAATAAAGCACGGTCTAGAAAAAGGCCTACGCCCTGCAAACAAGCAAAACAAAACTGTTGTCCACCACTTTATGCTAAATTAAATAAAACTTGTCTTAATGCCCAATAATTCCCCACCCTTCCTCAGCTGAAGGCTTAAGGTTAAGAAAGGATTTGTGAGATATTTGCACTGTTATCAAAAGCAGATGATGGCTGAGGCCACATGACTAGGTTGGAAGAGGAAAGGCTCCAACATGGTCCTGTGGGCTCCCTCCTTAAAAGAAATGGGGGATCTCCATGGGATAGAGTTCAGCCTTAGAAGAGCATCATGACCTGGTAGACCAGACGTGTTGCTGTTTTCCACTGCAGAGCAGGAACACCATGGGCTTGATTAATTTTCTCATTAAACCCATCTATATCTGGAGGAAGTGAATGGAACTGCACTGTGCTAATGAAAAACGGAATTAAAGACTTCAGTCTTTTTTCTATTTTAATTGCTTCACATGCCCCAGAAATGTGTTGTGCTGCCCTTGCAAAGGAATTAAGTAACAAATACTATTCCTTGATCTGCGTCCATACTGATGCAGCAGCCAGAGGGAGAAATGTTTGGCCAGCACCATGTTTGTTAAGTGGCAGCTTCTGGCTCATGAAGGGTCAAAACCACAAAGTTCAGGACTAGAGCCTGCCTTTCCCTGGAGCTGCGGTGAACAGATGTGTTCAGTTCCGCACTCTGGTTTGGACCTGTCTCCATTGCAAACCAGTTGTTCTACAGATTTCACTGTCAGCAAAGGTTAGCGGAGAAAACAGCAGCAGGATTTGACTAAAGAAAAAGAGCGTTGGGTCAGCAGGGAAAAAAAAAAAAAAAGATCCTCAGGTCTGTAAGAAGGTGTAATATCTTGGGAACTAGAAGTGATACAGAACCACTTAACAGAAAGTGTGCAGATTAGCTTAAATACAGGCCACAATTTCTCCCACCCTAACATTCAGTTTAAACCCCCTGCCAAGGAGAATGTAGCACAGAAAGGAAATTGAGGGGGCTCAGCCTTTATGGCAGAGGCTTGTTTAAAACAAAATCGCAGTGGGAGGGGATCCATTAGGACTGAGGTCTCCTGGCAGGGGACAGAATGCTCTGTAGTTACTTTTTGTTTGAGACTTGCTTAAGAAATTTATTTAACATGTTCTTAAAAGTTTCAATAGTTGTTATTAACACCCCCGGTACAAGCTGACATTTGGCCCTTGAGCAGATGCACAGCATGGGTTGCTGGCTAAGAACAAGCAGCCTGCAAAACAGAAAATTATATTGTTGGGCTGGGAGAGCAAGTGTGGCTGGGGTGAATTCAAGTCAGAGCTGGTGCTACCTCAAGTTTGCTGGTAGTCCACCCCTCATGAAAGAATAAATGTAAAAAGCTTTCAATCAGTACCCTTTGGTTCCTACCAGCATTTCTAGGCAGTCACACAATAAGATCTGATTTTGCAAGGGAAGGAAAAGCAGGACACCACTCGTGTTTGTACAGCTTGTTTAAAATGTGACACCTATTTACTGGTGCATTATTTCCTATTACTCCCAAAGGATGGGTTTAATATTTTCTTGGTGAGGAAATTTTCAACATCGCGAACACAGATCATGGAAAAGTAATATTCCTTTTTGACAGCAACGAGGTGAAGTCATGAATAATTTAAGTTTTTATGCCTTGGTCTCACCATCCTTTACATAGCAGAGCGTCTACTGCTTAGGCAGACAGTTTGAAAATGTTCATTGCTGTGGCTCTGGCAACTGAAGGAGGGAGAAGAGAGAGAGGAAGAGGAGGAAGGGGTGGTGTGCCTGGTGTGTCATTCTCACTGGAGGGTCCTGCTGATCGCTGGGGCCGTTTCTCCAGGGACTGCAGGAGGTGAGGAGGGTTCCTGTGGCAGAGCGGGGCACTTGCTCCTTCTACGCTGCCGTGGAGAGTGGTGGAGCTTTGAGATTTCTCCTGTTTGCTTAAGATCCAAAATACACTGGGCAGGAGGGGATAGTCTCTCAATCACAAGTGCCAAAATTCTTTTTTTAAAGCTGCTTCTCTGACGTAGTGTGAGCCCCACCTGAAACACTTACTGTGAAAAGACTGTAGTTCTGGCCTGTCATTAAACACTGAGGAAGGAGTAACTGAGCCTTACTTCTACACACAGCTGCAGACACCAGCTGCTGTCTTTTTCAAGGGGGACTACAAATCCATATGTAAATAGATTGGCCTTAGTCTGGGCCCACGTTATACCCCTGGTTAATACTGTGAAATCAGAGCAGTGCACTGATGACTACACTGACTGATTTCAGTTTCATGACAGGAACCTCTGTCTCCCCTGAGCCTACAGCCTAATCAGTACTTTTTCTGCTAGTAGTTAAAATAATTTAAAAGATAGCTAGCGCTCCACCATTTTTAGTAGAGAAACGCTTAGCGTTCTTTGGTTAATCCTTATTTTACCACCTCACTTATTTAATAAATCTAACAAACGGCCTGACTTTTGGGAGAAAGGGTTTTTGCGTGAATGAGTCTTTATAATTTTGGCCAGTGAAAAACATAAGATTCGTCCACAGAATACAAAGAAACTAAATCCCTGTATAAAGCACGGGGGTACATGTGGAACAGGTGCCCGGAGAAGCCGGGAAAACATATTCCTGGTATGTCAAGTGAAGTATCTGAATTTTTTGTATTGATTTTTCTAGTAGAATATTTGAAAATATCTACTGACCTGAGGCCAAAATGGAAACCCTTCAACAGGCACATAAAATGTCATTTTTTTATGGCATAAATGCCACATTTTAGAAAGCCATAACAAAGATGCCCAGATAGAGCAATTATTTAGGTTGCTGATTATGTATTTGACGTGATTGCGAAAGGTCACTTGTCTCTCGCTGAAGCAGAGACCTGGGATGATCTCATCAGCTGTAAAGCACAGCGAGGTCAGGTCTAGTTCATCGATGGAAGGAAGACTTCAAAAGAAGAAAACCTCTCGAGCTGAATTAATGTGATGACTCTCTTTCATCTGAGTCATTACTGATCAATTGTTGCAGCGTTCTCTTGAGGGCACTGCGCTGCGCTGGGTGGGAGCTGCTGCACAACCAAGCCATAGCGACCAGCATCTTCGGCCACGCACGATGCTAACAGACAAGGTCTTAGCACGCTGGCCTGGTTCACCTGCAGCCAAAGTAACTGCAAGCTCTCAGCCTGTATTAGAGCAAAAGGTCCACGTGGTCGTGATTTCTCGCATCTCCTACCTTGTCATGCCTCGTTATGTGCTATTTAACTACTACGGTCATGCTATACTTGGGGGTGGGTTCCCTGAACGTTCGGTCTGCAGACATATTAACGGTGCAGGCACTGATTAAACAGGAGAGCTTATAGATAACAGCACTATCACAACATGGCAATTTTAATTAGAGGGAATATATTGTGGCTGTTCTTGGCATGTGTGTAGAGTGGGAAAGGGACCCTTGGGTTCCTTCAGGGCAGCTAGGCTCCTTGCATCTCACAGGGATGTGGACAGGGCTTTCGGACAGGTAGCAAATGTTGTTGATATGACACCGTTCTCAGGTGCGTTGGCCAGTGGGTCACTGTGGCTGGAGTGCAGTGTGCCTCCCGGGGAGAATAAATGGCTGTGCTCAGGAGCCACTCTGTGGTCCCCCAGGCTTCCGATGCCTCTGTGTACCCCACCTGAACCAGGCGTTGTTTTCCATTCCCCAGAGTCAGGTAGCCAAGTAAAAATCTGGTTTTATTTGCAGACTTTTCGAGACCCTCCAGTCGCTCTTCTGGTCTGTGTTTGGTCTGCTGAATCTCTATGTCACCAACGTGAAAGCCAGACATGAGTTCACAGAATTTGTTGGGGCCACTATGTTTGGGACCTACAACGTCATCTCCCTTGTTGTGCTGCTGAACATGCTCATAGCCATGATGAACAACTCCTACCAGCTCATTGCCGTAAGTTATCTCATTCTCTCTCTTTTTACTGTTATTTTTCTCCGTGTGCCTCATCTGTTCGGCTTAGAGCAAGTGTGTATCTACTGGGGTGCTGGAGACTGCTGCCCCCAGTTTTTGACAGCAGATAGTTGGGATTTCTGCTCACTAGCCTGAATCATGCTTGCGGAGGAGGTTTTGCTCAGTTTGTAATGCTTCTTAGCTGGAAAAGGCTTAGCAGCTGTCATCTGCCCTTGTCTTCTCCTGCAGAGTAACCTCACCGATCACCTTGTCATTAGCAGCTGATGTACTTTGTAGCAGAGAGGGTGTATAAAGGGAAGCCTTCCCACTGCTTCCTGATGTTTGGTTTTAACTTGGGGGGTGGGTGTTATATATTATTTTCCCTCTCTCCTATTAACTATTTTCTCATTTGAAACCATGTGTGTCAGGAGCCCGGTCCTGTAATTTCTTATTCCACAGTCTTCCCACTGAAATGAGATCATTTCCATCTGTAACACCAGCCAGTCTCCTGGCAGCGAACGCTGTAGACCCATAATCTCAGATGCCTGAGTAGCCTCAGTGCAGGACGGAGCTGAGCTGTGGCAGCTCAGCGCTGCTGGCTGGCCATAGAGCCGGTTTCAAACTGAACTTTGGTCTTGATGTGAATGTTCAAAACTGGTCTCTAGTGTAATCTCATTCTGTGTACCTAAAAGTCAATCTGTACATTGATGATTAAATTTGTCAACAGACTGGAAACTAAAGCAGCATGGCTCTGCATTTTAAGGCTCTTCAGGTAAACTACACAGAAACAGTATGGAAGGAAGCTAAATCTGGTGTGTGCAGTACTTACGGTGAACCAGTGGGTACTTACTTCCCAGTTCTGATGCCTAACGTGATAGGTGTAGAGATAATGAGGTGATGGAGCGTTACACAGAAACAGGAGTTAGGAGGGTCATTTGTGTCCTCAGCTGCTGGTCAGAAGTACAGGCAGAGTAGAGACTTCCTTTTCAGCTTTGAATGGCTCTTGGATTTACTCTAGAAGACAGAGGATAAAATAGAGAAAAAAAGAACCAGCACCAGCTCTCCTACTATTTCCATTCGCAGCTTCCTGGACAAATCTCTGGGGAAGTGTATGGGTAAGCTCCCTTCCTGGCTGAAGCACACAGAGGGGAGTATCATATTGAGTTGTCTGCTTGAACAGGTTCCACAGCTGCTGTTGATCATTTGCTGATTCAAATGGCTCCAAAATTTAGTTATCTAGTCAAACTGAGCACAGACCCAGTCAAATCGGTGACACTTTTGAACATCTGATCTTTATCACGTTGAAAACTATGAGAAAAACTGGACCGTTGACCTTCTAGATGAGCAGAAAAGCAGCTTATCACAAAGGCTTTATCAGTCTGTTTCAATGCTTTAAGTGCTTTCTCTTTGTTCAGTGCTACTCCTCAGTTCCCAGGAGACTGGAGTGGGGGGCAGAAAACAAAGATTGGCCATTTTCTCCCATTCCCCTTCCTTTATTGTCGTCAAATAGGCTTGTCACTGACACAAAGCCCAAACCTAAGACTGGCGTAAGAATAGCAGTATTTGCTATTCACTGGGATACAGACCACTCCTCATTCTTTTCCCTGAATAATTTGAGTGATGCAATGACACATTACAATCTCACATGACTTAGAGAGACCCATCATAACAATGCACTGAAGTGAATGGTCGAAAGCGGACCGTTGTGTTAATGTTTTTGTATGTGGAGTGGTTGGGAACGGTGAATTACTCCCTCGGAAGGTATGCTTGTGACAGACCTGAGGGTGAAGGACTGAACTCACCGGATAACCTAGGCATAACACGCAATTCAGCGTGCACCATGAGCCCCCTGCGCAGAAGAGTGACAGTGAGAATGCTACAGGATACTTCTTTGTCACTTAAGCTGTCATACTGCAATTGCCACTGAGAGCAGTGACATTTCTTGGGAAGGCAAGAGGCAGTGGCTTCAGCCTCTTCTCATGCAGCGCCTGCAGCGTGTTTTTTGAAGCTAATATTTCTGCATGCTCACAGCATTCTCTCGGAGACGAGTATTCTTCATGTGTCTTCTAAGGGCAAACATCAATTAATCTCTTCCCTGAAGAAAACAATTCATTAATAAATGTTGAGCTTTACAACTGTGGGTCATTTTTTTAACCTCTTATAATCAGGTCTGCCCCTTTCTGAATCACGGTAGACTGGTTGCTAGACTGGGAATTTCGACCTCTAACATGAATTTGGTATTTAAATCACATTGAATACACCTGGAATGACAGCATTCCAGGGAGGGAGGAGGGAAAGGACCAAGAAGCCCTTAGAGTGGGGTGGAGGTCTGCTGCTCAAATACATCAGTAGGAAATCTTATGCCACGTGCACGACTCTGCAGAGAAATAAAATGAGCTGGACATCAGGGGTGAGTGCACCTCTGCTTGTTGATTTCCCTGCAGTGGAGTGCTCAGGACACCTTAATTAATTCCACTTGTTAATGAGCCAGTGGCACTGCTACAATGCAAATGGTCTTTCTTCCAGGGACAAATATATCAATGCATTTGTAGCCGTTATTCTTCAGGTTAGCTGTTCTCCATTGTCTCATATAGATGTGAATTTCTGCTGTGGAGGCACAGGAAGGAGAATCTTAAGCTGCTCTTTCCTCGCTCTGTCTCCCCAGTATGGGGGTTAGGGCTTGGTAGTTAATTGAGTACTGTAGGCACGCAGCATGAGACCACAAGGTGTCTGTGGAGGACAGAGCAAGGCAAGCAGAGAGTAAAACCTCTGTACAGCTTTGAGTCATTCCTGACTCGCAGAAGGAAGAATTTTTCTTCCATGATTTTGTTGGGTTTTTTTACTAAGCTGTTTCAAACTTCCATAAATACATTTTTCAAGGGATACCCTGAAGCAGTTTCACTATTGATTTTTTTCATACAGCCCATATTTGTCTTTTGCCAAACCACTGTCAAGAGCTGGTTATGAGAGGCACTGTGTTTCACTGACAAAGCAAACAAAATCCAAATGCGCACCACAATTTCCATACGCTTTGCACTGTTTCAGTAGGTGAAGATCAGAACGTTCTGTACAAGCAGCCCAGAATGCAACTGGATGTTATGCACTGCCGGGCCTCTCATCTCAACACCTTCCCAGACGTGACAGCAATACCATCACCTGATGAACAGGAGAGGAATAGGTCATGATGGGAAGAGGAAAGGACAGTGGAACTTACCTGAGAGTAGCCAGGCGGCTCCATCAGTCCGAAGTGGCAGAAAGTAACAGAGGGGGTAACGAGGACACTTTATGTGACAGGCCGTTTCTCATAGCATTGCCACTTAGCTGCATCTGAAGCTATACAGTCCTTCTGCCAGTTTGTAGCTTTTTCAAAACAACGTGATAGTGGGTGCTGCTGGGGGTCCTCGGGTGCAGGTGCATTTTGCAGGGAATTAGCAATCTACACATATTTTCTGAAAGCATGTTCCTTATGGACACATCCGCGATATTCTGGGAAGTCATGCAGGAATTAGCCACTGGAACCGTACCAACAGTTCTGACTGCAGCAGCAGGAGCAGTGGGAAGCAAGATCAATGGAAGAACGGCAGCCAAGACCCGTCTGCAGGATAAAACCATAGGGCTGTGAACTCATAATCTGAGTTCCAGGTGAGTTAGAGCGAGAAGTGGCACACAACAGCACCGCAGCGCTAGGCATGCCGCTGACATATTAAGGAGAGATGTTAAGCACTCGCAGCTTTGAGAAGTTTTAGAAAAGTACAACAATGCTTGATACCTTAGGGACAGTGTCACACTGAAGTAGGTCTGAGAAAAATTACCTCTAGCTACTGTGCGTGAAAGTGAAGGCGTCGCAGCTTCAGGTGTGTCATACGTGGTGTGTGTGTGACGCTGGAATAATGACCGCTCCAGCAGTATGTGTTAAGTTACAAAATTGATTTTTATGTTGTATTTTGTATCCTGCTATTGGTTTGTATGTCTGTTACTTCAAGCTAGTTCATCTCAGACAGCTGTGACTGCAAAAGACAGCTGCAGGTTTAATTATTTTAAGTGTATCTCTGCGAGTAGAGTGTATGACCAAACTGAAACGTAGTTGCCAGTGTTCAGACTGGAGAAATTAGTGCGTTGGACGCTGAACTAGGAGTGCGGTTTTAAATGATGGAATGAAATAGGGTGGATTAGCACATATTGTAGAGGACAAGAATGAAAATGAGAAATATTTCGCATAGCAAAACAAAAGCTGTACAGTAAACAGAAACAGTTGGTATGCAGCTAAAATAAGTGATCACTTTCAGGAAATTTTGCCTGCAAGCACAGGGATGTTGTACGTGGAATTTTCTCCATTTTTGCAAAGTAGAGAGCATAAAAATTAAAGCACAGAGGAATATAAAGATTTTTTTATCTCCCTATTACTTTGTTTCCAAGATGACTTTGGATTCCCCCCAGGAAGTAGTATCGAACTTATCTTGATCTACAAAAAAGCACAATTCCACTAGTTTTCTGTGCCAGTTGAACACCCTCGGCACCATGGCACTAATTACTACCCAGTTTAATTCACAACAGCAGCAGAAATTCTCTTCCCTACTGTTATCTGTGACTCTTAGGGCTGTCAAAAAAATGTTGCGCCTCCTCTGCTTGCATGACCTGCACAGTTCTTCCTTAGCAAAACCACGAAGGAATAATTTTACGAATCGATAAATTTAGTTGAAGACACACAGCTGGCTCATCCCTGCGTGTGGCAAGTTTTGGGGTGGTAGATTGTCCCCTTATAGAGGTGCGGCCAACTCCAAAGCCTGGACTCGAATCTACGCTATTGTAAAGCATCACAAGCCCCAATTCAGAGCCATTAATTTAAATTTCTTAGGAGAAAATGAGATGTGTTTGGTTTTTAACTCTGTCATATAGCAGGAAATGAAATTATACTCTTGTTGCCAGTATGAGCTGGGATTAATGTCTCTTGAAGCTTTTTTTTGTGGTGTAGCAAAACAACCAGGCTCTAGAAAGGGGATTAA